CCCCAAAACCCCAAAACCCCAAAACCCCTTTCAGATTTTGTATTTTTGAAAAGAGTTAATTTTAAATGTAATCGTTAAAATTATAATTTTGTAAATGTCAGCTAGATTTATCAAAAATAATTTAAAATCTGTAAATATGCAAAGTAAAACAGAAAAGAGGTTAAATAGTTCACAATTAAATGTAAATGATGCAGCCAATGTTGAGATTAAGGAGTTCATCCGGCCAAATGCAGATGTAAAGCATTCCATTAAAGATGCGGTAAGCTTTTATCCATAATCTGATTTTACGGTGTTAACTCATAAATTGTTACAGATATACTGTAAAAGCATTGATTTAAAAGAACATTGGGATACTCTCTTACTTGATGAAGTAATCTTGAGAAAGCACATGAGCTATGAAGACCCTAATAAGAAACTTTGAAGCATCAGAAAGTATATTATCGATAAAATTTTTGACTTTGGGGATTCGCTTGGACTAAGGAATATTACCTTACAGGCAGCTATTATATACGCTGAAATATTACTAAGCAAGAGCAAGTTAGACATCTTGGATAAAGATAAGGATTTATGGGCAGCTACGACTCTACTCCTTTCCTCTAAATATATTGAACTTGACGACTCGATTCCCTTCATCTCCCACTTCAGAAAGCTAGGATTGGATAGTTACAATGAGGATATATTCATAAAGTCTGAGTCAGTTCTTCTTAAGGCTTTGAATTGGGAAATGATGGTTGTAACCCCTTTGCACTACCTGGAATGAATTCTAAATTATTGAGCTCTATTTGGTGATGACAAGATCAGAATCACAGACCATCATGGAAATAAAATGAATAGATATACAAGTAATATAGAATTTGAATATGAAGGAGATAAAAGGGATCAGCTAAGAACCACAGTGAGTTCAGTTCAGAAATATTCAGAAATCTTTGTTGATATTTGCATCCAATCAAAGAAGATCCAGAAATACTCGTATTCAGTTCAAGCTATTTACTCTCTTCTTGCTGCTAGAGAAATGGTTGGGGTTGAACCAGTTTGGAATCCTCAGTTTGATAACTTTACAGGATTATATAAAAGCCAGATTTCTAGGGAAATCGAAGAGGTAATTGTAACGACTAATAGTGTAGATAAAAGGAATCATTAATGAATCAAATATCATTGATAATCTTTATAAAACTATTGACCAAACTAATTATGCTGAAACTTTATTGCAAAGTTCGAAGTCTCAGATATCTGAGGATGATAAAAATAATTCTAATTCCTCTAATGAAGACAAGCCAAAAGTTCTAGGCAGTTACTATAAAGCTCCATCTTGCAAGAAATTGAAAGTAAATTTATACCAGACTTCAAATAATTGTAGTACATCTCAAGTTAGGTCAAAGTGTACCAGCAGGAGCAGAGCTTCAACTAATGACACTAAGAAATATCAGAATAAAGCTCAAAAGAATGCATCCAAAAGGATTACTTCAAAAGAGATGGCAAAATCATTTTATGTAAAAAGAAGTAGTTCATACGCTCTCAAAAGTTCAAGAAATTACTCTGGTATCATCGGAGCAAAATCAAGCATCTCAACAACAAGGAATAACTATAAAATTCCCTCAAAAAACAAAAGAAAGAGATCTATCATATACAAATCAAATACAAGAAGTAACTGAAACTCTAGAGCAAATAGCAAGGTTAAGAAACCCAAAAACTTCATCAAGAGTAATATCGAGAATGTGAATACTTATTGCGAGCCTCTGAAATCTAAAAGAATGTTAGAGGAAAGACCTGGATCTATTATTACAAACTTCAGACAATATTATGACAAAGATCTGAAACAAAAACTCTCAGGGAAAAATTGAATGAACGTTCCGAAGAAGCCAGCTAAAAATAGCATGATGCTGTCAAAACAGGACTGAAATAGAAGCACGAATCATCTGAACACTGGCTTAAGAGAAAGAAGCAACCATATTTCTGATTATAAAACTACTATTACAAGTAGGATGACTTCCAATTCAGTCAGAGATGCTTCTAAAAGTTTAGTGGCTACAAGCACACATAAATGTGTGGTTTCGAATCTGAGAGCGTATTCAAAGCCTAAGAGATCAATCAATATCAAACCCAGGAAGGCTAAGAATAAGGAGAATGTCTACTATGAGCATGAATCCACTAGAGCTGGCTCTCAGTATAATTAGGGTAGCCGTTAATCTTAATTTTCTAAGCATAGTGGCACAATCTGAATATTATGTTAAGGGGTTTTGGGGTTTTGGGGTTTTGGGG